AATTTTCATAGCTCTTTAAGCATATTGCCTGCTGATTTCAGCTGAAATGTCTTGCTTCACCTAACACAGTTACTTTTACCTTCTGTTGCAGCCCAAACCAGGTTGCAGAAAAGGTGGCCTCCAGAATTGCAGAAGGCTTTAATGATACAGCACTCATAATGGTAAATTATTTCATTCCCTCCCACCTCTTTCTGTACTGTTAATGTTATGACTGTAGTGTTGGACAAGCCACTTAAACACTAATTTCTGGGTCCTTTAATAGTGGAGTAACTTTTTCCCTCCAAATGCTCTGGGGAGGAGATGCAATGACCTGTAGCCAGTGCAGTTCTTAGTATGTCTACGAAGAAACTGTGGTTGCCTTGCTGCCATCTCAGAGGAAGTGGAGGCTTTCTCTGTTTGCAAGGCTAGAGTGAAGACAGTGTATTCATTAATTTAGACCCCCTTCTGTGACTTAAGCTCTTGCTTAACTCTTGTCTTTTAAGACTTGGAGAGCTTTGCCTCCTTGCTGCAGTGACAAAGGATGTTTGCAGTTTAAACGTGTAAAATTCAGCTCATTTGAAGGTAGAACAATGGATGAGTTAGTATAAGGTGCCCTGTTAGTAAAAACTGATTGGCTTTTATTTCATCTCTTTGCTTGAGATCTTGAGGAGGAGACTAAAGTGGGGTTTTACTGTGCAAAACAGGTTGATAACACCAAGTTTACGATGGAGTGTGTGGAGCCTGCCATTCACGTGTATGAGCTTCACGAGAACAAGTGGAGGTGCAAGGACCCACATGTGTGAGTAAACTCCAGAGTTTGTTTGTGCTTGGGTAGCAAGGAAAAACAGGTTGCCTGGTTAAGGGAGGAACTTTGACTGTAGGTGAGTGACACTGTAAGGGTGGTGGGTGAAGATGATTTTTAAAGCTGGGTTTTAAAGCAGGTTTTTGCTGTAGTGACAGAGAACTGGCTTCTGCAGCCAGGCAGAATGACCGCCATGACCGTGCTGCAGAGGCTGTATCTTAATTTCCAGAGTGGAGGAGATAGTGGAGATTTTCCTGGTGATTGCTGTTTACTCCTGGTTATTTTATGCCCTAGTGATTTTTGTGAAGATTGGACCGAAGCCCAGAGAATTGCTGCATCTCTCTTAGACAGCAAGTCCTACGAGACACTGGTGGATTTTGACAATCACCTGGATGATATCCGGAACGACTGGACAAACCCAGAGATCAACAAAGCTGTCCTCCACCTGTGTTAGAGGGGTTCCTACTGACTAACTTACAGGCGTTCCCACTCTGTACTGAAGAGAGAAAAATGCTATTTTTGAATGTAAATAGAATAATATTCAGTACCTTGTGTGGAAACCTGACTGATTAAAAAGCACTGGCGCATCACATTGCAGAGTGATGTGTCCATAAGCTGTTGAATCCTTTTTCTGAGATTCTCCAAGAACTTCAAACTGTCAGTTACTGCTGTCCTTATGGATGCCTTCCCAGTTGTAGTGAATGTTGCTATTCCTTCAAAATCAAAACTACTACTGCTTGTCCCTACTGGTTATAATACAGAGTTCTGACTAAGCTTTTCTAATCTTCAGAGAGGTTACTTTTTAATGATTTATGGGAATACCTTCCAAGGAAAATAGGTCTTGTCCTCAGATGGGAAAATTTACGGTCAGATATGTAAGGTTAATGGTTGGAAATGTAATTTTTTTGGCACAGTAAAGTGCAAACTGATGAGGATGATGTACCATGCTCATGTGTTAACTGTTTTGCAGTGGTTTAGCATGACACAGCTACCACCAAGAATGTGTTAAAGCAGCATTCCCAAATGCTATGATGATTCCTGCTCTTCATGGGCATACAGCCACAGATACTGCTTGAATATGTTAAACCCAAGGTAAAAACCAAATGTTCACCTAATGATGTGTAAAAAGGACTGGAAGTGCACTAATGAGTTCTAAACCAGTTTGAGTTTACAAAAAAAGAGTGAAATACCTTATTTATTATATGCAATATTGTTGGGTTTTATAAACAGATCTCATTTTCATCTGGTTCATATGCTGTCCATTTAAGTAGGTCTAAAATGTGTCCCTCCAAATTGAAGGCAAGTGATCTGAATACATTGAATCAAGGAGCCTAGATACAGTCTTGTTCTGCTTCTGTCTTTCTAATTAATGTTTATTTTATAAGACAAAGTTTAATGAAGCTTTATATCAGACTAGCACAGTTCTCGTTGCCTTACTTCTCACGGTTGTTTGTCAAACTAGTTAACCATAGCCTCAGCCTGCATCAGTTTCTCTAGATTTCTTTCTCTTCCTACCAAAAAGTGGGAGATCCAAATGATCCACCTCTCTCCAAGTTCCTGATTTTAGTTTAGTGTTCTGATTCTGAAATCTGGGGGGTGGGACTGTCAAAACCTCTTGGTCTACCTCTGATTCTCCTTGAATAAGCACAAGTTTTACTCTTGGTCTTAGTGAAAGGTAAGGTGTAAGGTTAAAATCCTGTTCCAAAGCAGTGAATAGAATCAGGGGGCTTACACCTGAGTCCTGCTGTGGTGTTCCCTGCAGTTCTGATTCCACAAAACTGGGAGGTGAGGTATGAGGTTCAGCTCCATGTCCAAGGAGGAAGTGAAGGGTTGAACAGTTGGGTTTGTCTCCCTGAGGTGGTGTTAACAAAAGGGATTGGCACTTAGTCGACAGCTTTGCCTAAGCATGAGTCAGATGTGCTTGTGGGAAGGGATAATGTTTTCACCTGTTGAACAAGAACATATATCTAGCTCACAAACAGTGAGATAAACACATTCCAGTGGCTGTTTCACTGCACATCCAGGGCTGTATGAAAAGATACCCTGGGAACAGGAATGCTCTTGCAGTGTGTGTTTGGAGCAGGCTCTGCAGGCAGAGGACTGTTGGCTTACTTTGTACAAACACCTTCTGAAATCTAACCTATTGTTCCAGAGGCAGATGTTATCTTAGGGAGATGCAGTACATTAGTTATGGGAGATTGTCAGTCAGCACTGCCACATAAGCTGGTATGTCTCCTGAGCCACAGGAAATGTATTTCTTTGTAACTCGATGTCATAATCTATCTTTGATCATATATATGCTAATACAGTTTAAATCTTGCCATCCTCCCCCAAAATGTGTATCATCACTCTGTAACCTGATGGAAACACTCCCTGTGACTAATAATGAGACACGTTTCTGGAAGAGGAGCAGTTTCTAGTGCTTTGTCTTTCCCTTTCTTTATCTTCTGTTTGCTTTTCAATGAGGTCCTTTGAGTGTTTTGCCACCAGCAGAAGCCCAGGCTGGCTTTAAGGAAAAAGGACAAGCTCTGCTATGCTCAGATCTTATCTCACCTGTCCTATTTGCATTGAAGGCAGGACAAAAGGCAGCAATTTCATAAAGCCAGGCAGCCCGCAGCCATGGTGGCTCTTGTGAAAGAATGAGGAAGCTGCAGGCTGTGTTCCCCTCTCCTGCTGATGTACCAAACCTACCTGCAGGAGCAAATGCTGGTTTCCTGGCTGCCCGATCAGTTGGATTCATCAGAGCTCAAGGTAACTCCCTTTAAACCTTCAGGGGGGAAGAAATCTCAGGGGGGAAGGCATCTATGTCTCTGTTGCTGGGGCCCTTGTGATAGCTGGGAAGACAGCACTGGGAACAGGTGTCCTAATCTTTTTTTGGTTTGTTAGTGGTTAATAACATGAAGTATTAATTATTTTTTTCCCCCTTATTCACCAAGATTTGGAGATCTGGCATTTTGCTTGCCCAGACATTTAACTCCCAGCTTCTTACCTCATCCATAGGACTTTAAGCACTTGGAAATGCAAAATGATTCCCATGTGGGATTCTTTTTCTTTCCGCTCTCAACCCTTATATTTCAAAACAGTGATAAAGAGACAACCCCAAGTATCTGAAAATACCAGTTCAAAGTGCTTGGATTCAAGTGTGAGGACACACTACTCTTTGCTGGACCCACGTGAGTGCTTGCCTTGAATCCTTTAGTCACGAGGGGGAGAACAAAGAGCCTTGTGTTTGCGTTGCTTCAGGACCCATTCTGTTTTATACTGAGGACCAGAATGACCTAGGACACAGCAAGGCGTAAGTGACCCATGGCACTTCCAGCAGTGCCAAAAACTCCGTGTACCCATCCAGCTTGAGAAACACAGAAGGGAGCAGAGAGTTTGGGAGGGGGGACTGTATTTTTACCAAGTGAAATCACACTAAAATTGTTTGGAGAATTGGGGCTAGATGCACAGGAGATGTGGTCTCTGCTCCTCCTGGCTTGTGCAGCATCCTAAGTGGGAAGAGCAGACGGGTGGCAAGAGCCAAGGGCTGTCTGCTCCGCTGTGCTCAGGGGCTCTCAGAAGCAAGGTACCTGTTCCCAGGGAATGCTCTGGTGCCATTTCCTCTCTCAGCTCATTGATGTATGCACATATGATGAGTTTGGGGGGCGGGAGTGCTGCACTCAGGAAGTGAACCAGTGTGCTGCTGGGGTTTTTCTCCCATCTCTCCCATCTGCCAGCTGAGCTGCTCTGGGGATCTTCCCTAGCCTATGTCTGTGTGAAAACAAGCAGAATTAACCTGCAGACACTTAACCTCCTCCAGCTCGTTAGAGCTGATGGGAGGCTGGAACTAGATTATCTTAAGGTCCTTTCCAACCCAAACCATTCTGTGATCCTACGTGGGTGCGGGAAGCAGACGAGCAGGGTGAAGGAGACACCACATCTTCACCCAGCGCAGCTGGAGCAGGGGGCACGCAGATGTGCAGAGCCCATCTCCAGCGCTGCGGAGATGTGCCCTGCTAGACAGCCCCCTGCCCTCAAGAATTCCTCACTGGAGGAGAGCAGAGGTGGCAGTGACAGATGCAGGAAGCAACCCTGGGTCTCTCTGCTCCCTGGCTCGAGGCCTAATCGCTGTACTCCAGTGCTGCTGCTATTTGTAAAACGTCTCTGAGATGCTCCTCGGTGGAGGGCATTGCCGATAGGGAAGAGCACGTGAATGCTAATGGAGGAGGCTGTTAATGGGGTGGACTTGTGGTTGACTGCAGCTTGGAAACTGGCCTCAAGGGGAAAAGTGCTCAGCGTGCATTTGTGAGCTCTGCTTCTCGGTTGTGTTTTAATTCAGCTCCTGGAGCGGAGCTCCGTCACCCACTGTGTCCAGTAGGAGCTGGGCCAGATTGGGCTGAGCAGGGTGGGCAAGCTGCTTCCTTCCCATCCGTCCTAGCCTCTGCTGTTCCCAACTTGAGTGAAACATCTCCACACATTACACTCCTGCGCTGCAAACTCCTCTTTTGGTTTACCCATCGCCCTGCAACCAGCCCTCCCGCAGCAGGCAGCGACTTCACTGAGCTGAAGTATCCACTGAAGACTTGATCGATCTATTCTTCTTCTTCTGCCTGTCGCTTTTAGACCACATTTTCACCCAGCCTCTTCATCCCAAAGTGCACCCTGGCTGCGTGTATTCCTTTGGGTTTCAGCTGGGCAGCAGACACGGATCCGGAGAGGACAGAGTCAGTTTGCTGCTCAGGGTTTCCCATAACGGGACTGGCGAAAGCGGTCGGTGATCCAGGCAGTCTGCTGGAGCCATGCTGAGGGAGGCAGGGAATGCTGCTCTTGAAAACACCCGGTAGGTGGGCTGGGGGTAACGGGTAGCTCCGTGAGTGCTTCCAGGCAGCGCCGCACTGGCTGCAGCGTGGCGGCACTTTAGCTGGATGTGGGCAGGATCGGTGCCAGGCATGTCCTGCTCTGCGCAGCATCAGCCCACGAGGGCCAAGAGAAACAGCACATCCCTTCCTAGAAATGCGCTCTGGAGCTTAAAAGATGCACCTAATTGAAAAACTGTACCGAGGTTGTACCAGGGGATAAAAGGGGAAAGCTGGGCTCAGATTAACCTGGAGCTCAGTGAACCGAGAAGCACAGCAGCCACGGCCAGGTCCCTAAGACAATTGCCAGCCACGGCCTCCCAGCCGCCCGCCGGATCCATGCTCGGCAGGGAGGTGGTTTTCTCTGGATGCAGGTCTGGCAGGAGAGCCCAACACGCTCTGGTTTTGTGCTTCAGGTATGTGCTCGCTTCCCGCTTCGCTTCCTACTCCCTGCCGCAGCAGCTCCTGCCTCCCTCATGGGGCTGCTGACACAGCCCGATGGATTCTCTTTGGGGGTGTTTTCCAGCACAGTTCCTGCTGGTTTTCTCTCTGCCAGTCTTGCCAAGAGCCTGTGCTTGGGGAATGCTGGAGCTGCTCCAGTTTCCCCACAGCCTGCATCTTCAGCTGCTTCCTTGTGACATCCTCCTCCCTTCCCACGCCTGGCAGCCCCTCCGGGTACCACTTGCCTGTCCTGGATGGCGGTGCGGTTCCATCCAGGGATGGGAGGGAGTTCCTTTGCCTCTCCCAGCACCCACTGCCTTGTTGCCACCTCCAGGTTCCACAGGTCCCACCAGTGGCCCTGCAGCCCCTTTCCAGGGTGATTTCTAAGCCAGGATGGGACCGGAAAAGACCCAGTGCAGAAGTGGGGAGCAGGCGGCCACACTGCTCTGTTAGCACGCAGCCAGGCTGACGTGACGCCTGCGTTAGCAGACCCTGGGACTCTGTGACCCAGAAAGCTGCTTCCCCTCCCTCCTTCCTAACACAAGC